GATTAATCCTCGTCCTTCAATATTCGACCAACACTGACGCAATGTGTTGATCTTCCAATTTTAGCTGTTTCAAAAAATTATAAATGATAATCGCATTGCAAATTTTCGTAAAAAAGGAAGGATAATGCAACTTCAAATCTATTTATGTGAATCGTCATCATACAAGTTCATGGATAATTCACAAGACTCAATTGATCCTCATATTGAATGGCAAATAGTTTCAAATTATTAAGATTTATGTGATGTTTGATTGAGTAATCTTTTTTTTTTTTTGAATTAGATATTAATGAAATAAAAATAGCAAGATGTTTATTTTTACTTACACTGTTATATTGATCTTAGAAACCTTATCGAATTATTTTAGAATAAAATATATTGATCAATTATGTCATTTTATAAGTTTATCTAAACAAACATTAATTCAATCAAAATGATAGGTAATAAATACCAAAATGAACAATAATAAATAATAAAGAATATGCAGTTGAAGATATGATATTATTACCAAGACAATTATGATAATTAGGATCGGTTTGTTATTTTTGAGATTCGAAAAAAAAATGTTTTTTTTTTATTTCTCTGATAGTATAAAATTGATTCAATGATACATTAAATCTTTAAAATAAATCTGTTGTATAAAAAATTCTAGTGATTTAGTTTTCTTTTCAAAAAATGCATTAAGAGAATCAATGAAATTGTCAAATGTAAACGTTTATTTCTAAGTCACTTTTATTAGTCCTTGTTTTAATTTTTAATAAACAAGCGAATATTTAAAGAGATTAAAGTTTTATTGTTTTCTTTTTTAAATAAATAATAATTGATTTTGGTCGTAATAAAATATTTCAATCTGCTTGTTGTTCAACATTAAATATTTCATCATTAAGCCGTTAATCATAATATCGTTTAAATAAATTCAGGTAGGTTAATGATTACCGAAATCGTTATTTAACAAAATAAAAGATTTAAAATCAAATTCACTTTTTGACGCATTTTGTATATTAGCGTTCGCTAATTTGCTATTATTATTATTTGAATTAGATATTGATAAATGATAGTAACGATGTTGATTAAATATAAAAATTTTATTTATAAGTACTCATTCATTTTTGTTTGAAAATTTCATGTTTAAGTTACTGTTTTGTTTCTATATGTTCAATCATCACTAAGACGATCTCCGAACACGTTACTAAATAGCTGAAATAGTCATCATATTAGATATTTTTCATTATCGATCAAGATAAAGATTTTGTAGTTTAAATAATTTTAAATGCACATAATTGCATCATAGCTTGTTTAACACGTCAAGCTGGAGCAGATTTGACAGCAACAAGAACCTAACTTTTTGTATCGGAAAAAAAAAACTATAAATTTATTTTTAAGAAAAATGATGAATTATCATTCTCGAATGTTTTCTTTCCATTAGTCTGTTTAAAATTTGAAGACGATTTATTGATGAAAACACAATATACCAACAGTAATTTTTTGTTTCTGGTATATAAAATAAATTAGCTGCTCATTCTCGTTGAGGACGACTAAAACAGGTTAGAAAATCGAGAGATACAATTCTAACGAGAAAAACAAAAATATAGTAATCGATGGATTAGGAGTAAATTTAGTTTCTACTATTCGCCAGGTTTTCTCGAGAACAGTGGATCGGAAAAGTTTAAAATTTTCAGAGCAGATATCTTTTGACGAGTAGAGAAAAAGTTTTCATAGACTCAGAGTTCTCAAATATGATCTCCTATGATATACTAAGATCACAATAGTGAAAGATAGCTCAAATTGTATATCTTGTTTCTTTGAGATTACGGATGTACCAAATCTAATCTAATCTTTGTGTCCATTATATCCAGTTTTATTTGCTCTATTGGATACTGACACTCGACTTACCAAATCTGGAAAAATAACTTCTGAGGATATAGATGTAGTCACCCTAATTACACCAACGCCCATAGCGTTTTCTCTTTTTCTTATTTTTGCCCTACTTTTTTCAAAAAGAAAACAACCTGAATCTTTCTGTAAACAAAAACTTCCAAAAAACAAATCCAACATCTCTTTGTCTCAAAAAAATTCTAACACAAACAAGCTCATTTGAATGGGTATAGGAGAAGGTGTGGAGGTGTTAGAGAGGATAACTAACACACCCACAGCTACCGTCACATACAAAAGAGGGAGATCAGCAAAAACAACTTGAAAATTCGTAGAATGATATTTTACACAAACTCTTACACGACTGATTGTTGTACAGAAAATGTTGTTGATTCTAGGGCGAGCTTAGCTACAACTGAAATGCTTTTTAGACATTATAAGAATTGTGCGGATTCTAATATATTTTAATCGAACTTTCACTCACAGCTGCCAACAACTTTTCTTTTGCAGAGTGATAAATATGAATATTTGTTTTTGATTTGAGCATTTGCTCTCTTCGATACCCTCTATTTCTCAATATTTTGAAGTTTCGTGAAGAGGCTGGAATCATAATCTCTATTGGTGGTTTTATTGGACCTTTGAAAGGATGACATTTGTAATAAATGATTCATAACACTGATGATAACTATATCTGTGTATATGAGACCAGTCTTCATCTCAATCCAAGAAAGATAACTATCTTGTAAGTATCAGATTGCTGTAATTGTTCAAGTCGAATATGAAAATTCTCATTGAAATTGACGGAAGCAGTGTTCACATGATGGTGGATTTGCTGCAAAAGTGCAAGATTTTCTTTGTAGCTCCCTATATGTTGTCGTGCTATCATTTCAGAGCATCATTTTTAATAACTGCGTTGCATTTACACATAGAATGATGTTGTGGTGTAGCATTCACAATTAATTATTAATAAAGAAAATAACGATGGTCGTTTGGCCAAATTGTGCGTTAATTATATACACACTTCATTAGTTACGCACATTTCCAGCAAAAATAGATGATCGATATTTCTATCTGCACTCGTAACTATTCGCAATTACGGCGTCACAATGTGGTTGTAGCTATTCGATCGTAATGGTAGTCAACAACTTGTTTTTTTTTCTCATTTGTCTTGCATCTTCTCACTAACTGAGTTATGTACTCTAAAGTTTCTGCACCGGTGTCTCTGCTTTCACTTTTCGTGTTTGCATGAATGTTTACAACTCATTTGTGAAAACTATAGAATAAGAAATAGAGAGATAGAATTTCTTGAATAAAAACTTTTCAAAGTTTGACAGTGAAGCAAGAATGGTACTACTGTTTGAACAATAAGACCTGATTGTCTCTCCAAAATCTTTTTAGAAGGGATAGTTGCTTCTCATCATCTACAGCTCAGCCTACTTGTAGATGTATCTACCCATGAATTTCTGAAAATATATTCCTTGCCGGGTGCTAACATTTGCGATAAGTTATGAGATCGTGTTTTCAATAAAGTGAGTTGATTTGAATGTAATTATGGAAACTGAATGTTGAGATAGGTTTCACCATTTATGCGATTCGAATAGTGTCGTACTTCGATTCTGCGAGAAAAATAATTATTTGAAAAGTAACTGCTTGACTACTAGCAACTTGTCACATGACATCGGCGTTCATATCTTCATTTTATCTACCGTGAACGTAATAACCTATTTGCCATAAGTCACACTTTATACTTCTAGGTGAGGATCGTGTTTGAAGTTTGAACAAGTCAAAGAACATTATTGTAGATAACGAGGCGACAGTCCATCTATTGACCTTATTATCATACTCCAACGTATCATTGTAAGCCTTTACAATGAGTAAACAACGAATTGCAATTATTGGTGCTGGCCCAAGTGGTCTTACACAATTGTTAGCCTTGAAACAAGCTGAACAAGAACAACAAGTCGAATTGGTTTGCTTCGAAAGGCAATCGGATTGGGGTGGCTTGTGGCTTTATACATCTCAGATCGGCATCGATGCCAACGGTGAACCAATTCATTCAAGCATGTATCGACAGTAAGTATTATAGAAAAATATATTGAGCTTGTACTCTATTTGAAATTTCTGTCTTTTCATTCGATATTTAGACTTTGGTCGAACAATCCGAAAGAATTAATTGAATATACTGACTATACATTCTATGATCATTTCGGTTGTCTTCTTCCCTCGTTCTTGCCACGTGCTCTCATCTACGATTATTTTATCGGTCGGGCTAAAGCCGGCAATATTCGACGATTCATTCGTTTCAATACAGCCGTTCGACATGTCGACTTTGATGACGAGAAGAATGAATTTTGTATCGATGTTGAAAATTTTAATACGGGTTCGATGGAACATTTGAAATTTGATCGTGTCATCGTTGCAATAGGTCACTATCATGTACCAAACATGATTAATATCGATGGTGTAAACCAATTTCCCGGTCGAGTTCTTCATTCACACGAATTTCGTGGTGCCGATGAATTTGTCAATCTTAACCTATTGTTAATCGGAAGTAGCTTTTCTGTCGATGATATTGCTATGCAATGTTACAAATTCGGTGCCCGATCGGTGACTATCAGCGCTCGATTCAGGCCTCTTGGCTATAAATGGCCAAAAGAAATCAAAGAGGTACCCGAGTTCATTCGTATGGACGGTCAAAAGGCTCATTTTAAAGATGGTTCAAGTATTGATAACATCGATGCGATTATCTTTTGTACCGGCTATCGACATTCTTATCCATTCATGGCTAAACGATTTCATTTACGTTGCGGTGTAACTGAATTCGTTCCTGCCAATCTTTACAAGAGTATTTTCTGGATGGGTCAACCATCGCTCGCCTATCTAGGTGCACCGAGACAAATTTATTCATTCCCTATGATCGACATACAGGCAGCATTTGTACGCGATGTCTTTCTTGGTCATATGAAATTACCTGACTGCAATCTCTGGCAAGCCGATGTAGATAAATGGCAAATACGAGAGAAAGCCATCCCACCTGAAAATCTTGGTGCTTTGATCGAACTTCAAACTGCCTATATTCGTGATCTGCTCGCTTTATTAGCTACGCATGATGGTAATCAATCCCTGCTCAAATTCGATATAGATCAAGCTCATGCATTGACAATGAAATTTTTAGAAGAGAGAGCGAGTGATATTCTCAATCATCGTGATATATCCTACGAGTCGATCGTCGATAAGAATCACAAACAAAGCATTCAGATTCAGAAACCATGGATTAAGAATATGGATGATTCAATGGAAAATCTACTGAGTGGTTATCGAGAGAAGATCTGACTTACGAGCGGAAGTGAAATAGAGCAGATTGTGAACTTTTGATATTTTTTGTCATACATTCTTATTGTCCATTTCATAATAGATTACACTTTGTCATTCATTGAATAGCTTGTAATACGAAGAGTGTGGGCGTGGATTAAAGAAGAACTACACGTACACCTACATCCGGGTGTGGATTTGTATAGGTGAGTGAAGTTTGGATGTGATCGTGGGTGTCGTGTGATATATGGGTGTGAGTGTTGGTCATCTCTTCATTCCCATACCCACCCTACAGAATAATAATGAATGATATCTCCTTTTGCATTAAATTTTCTAATCTGAAACGGACTTCGTTTACAATTTGCACTCATTTTGACCGAGTGAATGATTAATTTATGATATTTTTTTAAGTAGACGTGCAGTTTAGTTTAAGATTGTACTTCAATCAAAATATGAGTTCATTTACTCGAATATTTTCACTGTTTAATATTTCTGAATTCTCCTCATCATTAACACTACGGTCATAAAATATGCTATTTCTCATCAGTACACAATTCGTCTATGAAACTTTTATTTATTAATGCCCAGCTTTAGCAGTAGTTTTTCTGAACGTTTGAGTCTGATTCGCTGAATCATTGTTGGGATTTCGTGTTGAAACTAGGTCATGTGGCTTTTCTTGACATTAATCGTTACAGTATAATAGCCTCAGTCCTTGAAAGGATTGATAAACTTTGATAAAGTTGCTGATGCACATGGCTGATACACAACGCTACTAAATCAGTATTCAGTAGTTTTGGAAAGTTCATTTTTTTCAGAGTTATGAAATTCAAAGTCGATGAAAGTAGCATTCACTCTTACTCATCTTAATTCTTCGTTGGTTTACGCAATTAAAGCTGAGTTGTGGTTCTGATCTATATCATTAACCAACTACTTGTACACAAATTTTTGGGCCTCCAGCAAATGGCACTATATTGGCCAAAAGAATAGCGAAAAAAGTAATGTTGAAAAGAAACGTCAAAGAAGAATATGGCACATAGAAAAAATGTCGACTGAGTTTACAGAGAAAAAAATACCGATGTTATGAAAATATCTAAAAAAATGTTACCATTTTTTTCAGGAAGATTAAGATATTTGTTCGATGCAAACGTCTTACAGATGTAAGCACATCAATAAAAAAAAAAAAGATCAGTAGATCATAAATTTTCCAGAACAAATTAGCAAAAGGATAAAATATTTATTTCTTTTACTTGGCTATGGCAAGTGGCAAAGCATCTAATAGTTGTTCCACATATATCTCACCGTTCTTGCGGCTTTTATTAAGTGTACCAATACATTTTTGAATCAAATTTATTTCTGCTGGTTTTGATCTTGCTTGGACTCTGGCATTCATTTGCAGAAGAAGGTGGGGAAATCGAGTTTCTTCATATTGAAAATATTTGATGAAGATCCATATATTTAGATGTACTGTTGGATTCTTTCATTTAATCGATTATGAAAACTTAGAATAAAGAAGTTTTGTGTATAGTTGTGAAAAAGAGAAGACATCCACTCACACTCACATCCATCAATACTGGAATCTCTAAAACTTTATTACGTAAAAGCAATAACTAATATATGGTTTTCTTATTCATTGTATAATGTGTGCGAACAGCGAATTATACTTCATTCAATAGTTTTCGATTAGCTCTATTGAATCGTACACAATTCACTGTAAATAGTGTTACTCTATCAATACTGCAATCTCATAAACTCTACCAAGTGGAAGTAATAAGTAATATATAGTTTGCTTATTCATTCTACAGTGTGCACCAACAACGAAATAATCTTCATTCAATAGTTTTCGATTAGCTCTATCGATTGAAATATAACTTATTGTGAGTACTGACATATTTTTATTGGCCGAGTGAAGAATACGGGAGTGAAAAGTCTCCAGAAAAGCGATCAGCCATTCCCATATTGAAAGTATGACAATTTGTAAACCTTTCAAAGAATTTATTGTTAGATTTTGTCAAACAAATATATTTTCATTATTTGGCATATATGCAAGACCTAGGGTATTTCTTACTGATCTCAGAAAAGTAGATTTCAATAGCTTTGATTGTTAACAAGGTATAGAGATGTTATTGAAGTTGATCCAACACGTTGTTTGATAGTTTCAGCAAATCTGAGAATAGGTTCGAATTCAGTTCATTGATGATGATAAATATCTAAAAGTCCCGTTCATATTCTTATAGTAGGTCATTTCTCTTCCAGAGACGTTTCGCTTGCCTATTCTTCAGTCGGTTGGTAAAAATGTATTACTACTCACGATTAGTTATATATCAATCGATAGAGCTAATCGAAAACTATTCAATGAAGTATAGTTTGATGTTGGCATACATTGTAAAATGAATAAGCAAATTATATATTAGTTATTACTTCCACTTGGTAGAGTTTTAGATATCCCAGCATTGACAAAACAGGATGTGGGTATGGCGTTTGGATGCTCATCCTTCCAAAAAAAAATCCACACCCGCAGGCCATTTAGTATCGACTGGTATCGGGCGGCTATGAATAATATTCCATGCTATTGAATAATAATGAATGGTATTGAATAGTATTGAATGAAATTGAATGGTACTTATGTTTACTTACATTGGTATTGAATAGTATTAGAATTTATAAAGTTTAACCGAGAATAATTATAGCCAAGGGATTTGAGACTGTAATAAGTTTTTCAAAAGTTTCATTTTGATTTTTGTAGAACTAATGTAAACCCGTCCCCACAATAGAAGACAGTGGGTCTTCTATTATGTCCAAGCGTAAAGATTTCCCAGGGCATCTTGTATTATGTCCCATACTATTTCACAAAATCTAATTAAAAACTTTTTTTTTAGAGGACCACGGTGGTTTTTAGAGTTTTAAGAGCCCAGGTATAATTTTGAACTCACTATTTTATTATTTTCCAATCAATATGCTGAAAACTAGGCATATTTTGATGTAAATATACTATTTCAAGTTCCAGATTATCAAAAAATTAATTAATTTAAGGGGGAAGGGGTCTTCTATTACTTTCGGCGAACTTTTTCTTCATGAAGTCTTCTATTATGGGAAAGGAAAGAGGGCGGGAGCCGTCTTTTTCTATCGACCAATTGTCTTGACAAATGATTAAAACGTACGAAAGACTGAACTTAGCATATTGTGTGTTAGTAGAATTAAGCTAAAGGTCACAAGTGAGTTTCATATTTTACTCGTAATGAGAGCTGTATTAACAAGCTTTTCCACTAAAAGTAACTTTTTCTGCGAGAAACTCGCATTCGTTGTGAAGAAACAGTTTTGCGGAAAACATGATTTCAAGTTTTGATTCATCGACTCGAATTATCATCTGCCAAATTTTATAATTTTGAATAGCACTCAATACCAATATCTCAATGCTGCATTTTTATTCTGACATCATTGAGACACCTTTGAGGGTCTGAAAATTGTTATATGGGGAATTAAGTGAAGATTTGCACATGCAACAAATGTAAGGTATTCTTAAGCGAAATCGATAATGATGAATTATGTCAGAATAATTTATTATGATTCGTATATATCCATGTACTTAATGTATTTAGGTTCAACGACGCATTACAATCATTTACTAACTGATTATCTTGTTTGTTATATATACGAGTTATTAGGGTTCTATTGATCTGCATGTCTTCGTTTACTGTCTGCTACCATTAAAAAAAACATCTGAAGGACCGTTCTAAGTAGAGTGCTGCACGGGTGCACTTTTTTTCACCCGAAACCGGACCGGAGCTTTTTTCCGTACCCGAGTCCGAACCGACCCGACAACTTCGTACCCGGACCCAAACCGGACCCGAATAACTTCACCCGGTACCCGACCGGCAGCCATTTATAAGTATAACACACCCGACTACTATTATCACGTACAATCAATTTCAAACTTTATTTCATATGAAAAAATATACAATCTACTTAAATAAATAAACAAAAAAAACACTCATCTGAAATTACGTAAAAAAAATGTGGAAACCTCGGATTTAAATCCGAGTGTTATGTGTACTTCAAAAAGTAAAAACACAGAAGCAATTTCCGTTTAAGTATCTTTGCAATAGGTGACTTAGCNNNNACCATTTTACTGTGTACGTCGTAGTACTGATCAATTCATCAATAATTTATCCATTTAAGCTCATTCGTGTTATGTTCGGTAATACAGAATTATGCTATCTATTTACAGCAAAAATTTCCAATCAAACGTATGTATCCTTGATAATAAGATATAGATGTCACAAAAAATCATAAGAAATGTGCTTTTTTGACGATAGTGCTCTCAGAATAATTTAAATACCTCAAAAACGAAAGAATATCTTTTCAAACGGGTTGCGTCAAAATTCTTAGCATTCTTTCCTCTACAACATATCTTAAATTGGACAAAATCTGATGACCTCGATTGAGCAAGTTCGGTCGTGGCGTATATGGATTGACTCATAAATAACTTTGAGTATCATTTTAAAATCATAACCTCTTATGACAATAATTTATTAATTATTGTCGGTATTCTTATATATATATATATATGTTAATTGTATATTTTTAAGTTATTCCAATTTTAAATAAAGTTGATTATTATCTTACGGCCCTATACCACAAAAAATAAAATTTATTTTCCATAATTGGTCGCGATTAGAAAAAAGTCAGTATGTTTTTTCTCACATGAAAATTCGGTTTTTATGAAAGTAAATGTTGTTGCACTGAGAGCTTCAATATCTCGAATTAGTAATTGAATGCATTCTTTTAAATGAGAAAACATGTCGCGTTTGTAACGGTCAGTGGTGTATATATAAGATATTTGATCCGTAGCTCCTATGTTCATATCTGACTGTGACCGTTAAAGTAAATATTCAATCCGTTTGCCAGGATAGCCTAAGACCACCATGATAGATTGCTGATGGCGCCTCAGTTCAAATCTGAGATGGATTGAAATTTATTTTTCGAATTTTAAGAATTTGGCTTGAAACGCGTCTGAACGCGGTGTAGTTTAAGCTCGCGTCTAGACACAAAGAATGTTCCACTGGAGACGTGATTTAAAAGAAAATAGCAAGTAGACGAACTTTGAAACTAAATCGTGTGCAAGCTGAGTTCAGAGGTGAATCATTTTCGAAGATCGAGCTGTTATTCATTTCTAGATGACTGCGATCGGTAACGCCACGATGGATTCTCGCGATGGAGGAGAACATGCGATTGGTAGAGTGATTTTATTTTTATCATTTGCTGTCTTGGTTGGATGTATATGCAAATTAATACTTTCGCAAATATTGAAAAATAAATTTCCTGCTCCATTCACAGTGATCGTACTAATTTTTGGCTTCAGTATCGGTATGATTATTGCCCATATTCATGGTATGAGCAATGATTTTTTACTTGGTGAAAAAGAATTAAGAGAAATCAATCCTCATCTTATTTATTACATTTTTTTGCCGTTGCTGATATTCGATGCGGCTTTTAACAGTCGTTTTCATGTTATTCAACCACAAATCATATCTGCTATACTTCTAGCTGGTCCTGGTGTTCTCATTTCGATTGCCATTGTTGCAGTGTTTGCCACCTATATATTTCCTTATCATTGGCCTTGGCTAGTTAGCATAATGTTTGGAAGTATTCTGAGCGCAACAGATCCCGTTGCTGTAGTGGTATTACTACACGAATCAGGAGCGAGTAAATCATTGGCAGCATTGATCGATCTTGAATCATTATTGAATGATGGTTCTGCCTTTGTCATCTATATGATTTTTCGAGATATTGTCGTCGGTGAAAGTGATAGTGCCAAGAAAATTATTATTGATATCGTCAAGTTCACTATCGGTTAGTAGAAGTTGATCATAATCACATTCCTTGTGATGACATTGTTTGGAAATTGTCTGTTGACATTCTAGGTGGTCCAGCTTTTGGCATTGCCTGTGGCATCATTGCTGTAATTGTTCTGAATATGATCCATAATGAACTCGAAGTCGAAATTATATCGACTTTCGGTCTTGCCTATCTAATTTTCTATGTTGCTGACGTTGAACTCCGTGTCTCAGCTGTCTTGGCACTGGTGGTCATGGGACTTTTCATGGCCAAGCACAAATATTGTATCAGTAGTCACGTGCAACTTCCAATGGCCAATACTTGGCGCATCATTATTGATTTTGCAAATATTCTCATTTTTATCATTACTGGTATTATTTTGGCTCACTCACTGATCGGCACGAAAACAACTATTGTCACACGTGATTTCGGATTTTCTATTCTGTTGTATATTGCTCTTCATTTCGGACGTCTATTATCCGTCATTGTACTCTATCCATTTATACGTTGGAGTGGTGTGCGTCTATCTTGGAAAGAAAATATGATTCTGATTTGGAGCGGTTTAAGAGGAAGTATGTCCGTTATTTTAGCTTTGATGGTTGGCTCCGAAAATCGAATCGATATCGAAACAAGACATCGTTTTCTTTTTCACATATGTATGATTACCCTTCTTACATTGATTATCAATGGAACAAGCAGCAAGTTCTTAGTAAGATTTCTCGGCTTGGATCACGGTATGTATATTAGTTATTGACTTGTTCAATTCACTTTTTTCACCATTCATTACTGTCGAGCAAGTAGCGAGTGACTCACTAATACAACAATTATGTTCGATTGAGAAAAAAAAGTGAAGCTCAGATCCTTTCTCAACTCCAGATTGAATTTTCCTCCGAAATATGAATATTGTTTAGCACATTATCTATTGAGATGAGAACAATTTTCGGTGCTATGAATGAACATGTTCTTTTTTCAGGTACACCAGAAAGTGAACGCATTTTGTTACAAGCCCTCGAACATATGCGCAGACAAACAGCATATCAACTCCATAAGATGAAACAGGAAAAGCAATTTTCTGATGTCGATTGGGATATGCTCAATGAATATTTACCGGAAAAATTGGTTCAAGAAATGGATGTACATCGAAGAACAAGCATCCATCGGCGACTCTGTGCTCTACCAGATTTTGCTGAAGATTTATTGTTAAATTCTTATCGAAAAAATACGATCACAGACATTGAGTTAAAAGAAATTCCGAGCATATGTGAGACCGAAAGTATACCCATAGATGTCATTCTGGAAGAAAGGAAATCAACCATTAGACATATCGTATTGCCAGTTATGGATTTACGATCCAATGATAAAAAAGAAAACACACAATTTCGAAACGAGCTAACTATTCGTTTTCTCACAGCATTGTTGGTTGATTACGAAAAACAATGGTATCTTGGAATGATTCGTCGACGAACACTCTACATTCTGATTAAATCAGTCGAAAAAGCCAAACATCAACATTCACTTAAACTTCATTGGAAATTGATCGTTGAACATTTTCGATTATCGAAATGGCTGCAAAATCTAATGCGACTCGATTGTGTTAAGTGGATTAACAAAGAGTCGAATAAACTATTATTTGATCATATCTTTCTCACCATTGAATTGACTCTCGGTAAGTGATACAATAAGAAAATGTTCTTTTCGTTTTATTTGATTTTCTTGGAAAATTATTTCTTTATCGAGTAGCTTTCCATTCAACTCAAACTCGTATGGATAATATTCGAAAGCAATTTCCAGAATTAGCTAATATTGGTAAAAGAATTTGGAATAAAGTTTATGCAGAAACTCATTTGTATCATCTCACTGCTACCTACATTCTTCTTGATCTACAACAATCCTATGAAGCTTGTTGGCGAATTCATATGACAAAACGATGTGCTCAAATGTTACTCAAATACGAATCGAAGACGATCACTGAACTTTATGAAACGGGAATGCTCGGCCACAGCGTATATTCGCATATATTGGAATTAATCGAAAAGAAATCGTTGAAACTGGAATTTTATCGTGTCTCTATGGTTCACGGTCATTTGAAAGCTATTGAAAATCCTTTTGACTTATTGCCACTCTTTCGATCATTACCTAATCATGAAAAAACACGTTGGCAAACGATTATGAAAGCAAAACATCGATGGTTTCAACCGAATCAAATTCTTCTTGAAAAAGGTCAAAGAGTATCGACTGCCTATCTTATCACTCGAGGCATTGTTGAATGTAAAATAGATACAATGCCCATATATTACCGATTAGGCAATATTGTCGGTATCGATGCCTTATTTTCACAAGATTTTCTAGCACATGATACTTATCGTGTCAGTAGTGGACTTTTGGAAGCTTATTGTATCGATGGTATATTATTGAATCAATTTTTAAAAGATGAAACTTTAGCTCCTTCGATCTATCGAGAAATTGCTCTACATGTCTTGAGTAATAAGTATCAGACACGTTTGAAATTGAATCGTTTACAGCTACGATTACTTGTGCACAAGAGAGCAAAATTCTATTGGAATGAATCGGATATATCGATTCAATTGAAAGAGAATCAACGACTATTTATTCTTGCTGGCTATGTTACTCATTTGTTCAAAGGTCAAAACAATAAATACGAGTCAATTCAACTGCAAATCTTTGATAACGAAGTCGAAATTGTTCTTAATTCGTCGACTGTGGCCTATTCATGGATGGATGAAGATGAGGAATTTTCTATCAAAGATACTAATCTTACCGTTCATTTTCCATTGCAAACCTATGATTTACTCTCCAATAGTCTACTTTATCCGGGATATTTGAGTCAAGTCACACAATTTCCCGAACGATGACGCTCAGCATCATTCTTGGATGATGGAATACATTCCAGCGAAGTATAATTTAATATTTTAAAGGAATGATCTTTTTTGCCGTTTTCTTACTTTGCAAAAATAATTATAACCATAGTGCAGGGAATTTTAACAAGACGCATCATAGACTCCAGTTATGTTTCTCATATTATACTTACACAATAGATCAACGATAATGTACTTAAAAATATTTTTGTATTTTTGTGTCCTGAATCTAAAGCTTTCTTTTTATTCTAATCTAAAAAATCTTTTGATATTATTTCCTACGCATTTTTCTATTTCTCGAAATTTCTATGTTATTTGAAATACATTGATCGAAATATCTTAAAATTTCTCCTCGTCCAATAGGAATGATTGTATTACTAATTGTACATTGACTTATTTCAAACAAGTAAATGATTATCAAAAATCGTGGAAGAATTTCAATTGAACTGATATAATCGATGACATTTATTTCGTTATGCACTTTTCCTATCCAGAATGCCTCAAAAACAAAATTGACTTCAGGGTGAGACTGTTCTTAGAAACTTTTAATTGTACATAAATATAATATAATACTCTTCTTTTATAATAGTGCCGCACGTCTTACAGAAAATTTGATAAAATCTTTCAATAATTGCTGTTCTACCATGACTGTCATATATTAATATTCAAGTGGGATACACAAGAGTTGAGATGGGGTACAGTTGAGGTACAATCTTTTTATAATGGCGTACACCATTGGGGTACATAATTTTCTCTCTGAAATGGAAGGATTTGCTTGGAAAACTGTTGAAACAAAACAATTTTTATATAAAACAGCATTGTATTCAACTTTTTCTATTATAAATCAACTATATTGTTCATTTTTTTTAGAAAAAAGTACTCTCATAGTTAAATTATAGCTTCGAAAACAATCTAATCAACAAAAGAAATACAAAAAAGTGATACATGTTAAACATAGAATCAGCTAGAAATAGATTCTTATTTGGCAATAGAGAAATTTGATTTCTAAATCGAACAATGTGCAAGACGTAGATTAGTTTGACATTCTCTTAGAAACTGTGCATATCTAGGATTTTTCACTCATTTCTTCTTGAAAATATAACGTTGTTTTGGGTGGGTGTGGGGGTGTGGGTGTGGGTGGGTGTGGGTCTTGGTGTGGGTCTTGGTGTGGGTGTTGGTGGGCATCAATAGATGAACTACACTCCACACCCACACCCACACCCACCCACACCCACCTACACCCACCCACACCCACCG